AATGAACACGTAGAGAGAATGTGAAAATTATAAGAACGAGCAAGAAAAAAAAAATGCCATGAGCTTCACCCAGGGACTGTTAACTACAGCTGACGTTTTAGCATATTTTTTATCCTTTTTTTCTGGATACTTTCTTCTTTTCTATTTTAAAACATTAAAACCTAGAAAAGTCCAACCAGACTAGTATAGCTTGATAAATTGGTAAAAATGAACATATTCACTAATACCAACAACTTCCCAGAAAACATTCATAAAACCACCCACTATCCTGACCTGCAATCCCCAGGGAAGACGTCTCAGACTGTGCAAGAGACTACACAGGGACCTCCCTGGGTCATGTTCGTCATCACAGGTGGTGGATACTCACTCCTGCTGCTGCACAGAGTTCTTAATTTTAATCTGATTTACTGATCTTGTTTCTTACCTAGAAGTGTACCAATGATGAATACCAGCATCCCCAAGACCCCCACCCCCTTTCTGGTCTCTGGCTGGCTTCCCTCCATACAAAGTCACCCTCTTGACTTCTCATACCATTGACTGTATGGCGTTGTTGAACTTCATAAAAGGACCCCAGCAATAACTAACTCCTTTGTGTCTGGCTCTGTTTCCATAGCATAACTTTCGGGAGATTCATTCGTGTTGTGTATACCTGTAGATCTTTCACTCTTGCTGCTGTACTTACTTAACCATTCTATTGTGAATGGACGCTAGGGTTGCCTCTAGCTTTTGACTCTTACAGATCGGGCTGTCATAAACATGCTTGTCCACGCCTTTTGGTGATCTCCTGCATGCAGTTTCTATTGACTTTTTACTTAAGTGGAACAGCCAGGTCCAGGAGTAGGCCTAAGTTTAGCTTTAGTAGATAAGGCAGAGAGCTTTCCAAGGGAAACGTCCAAAATTTACTCTATGGTAGGCTTCCGAGGACTCCTGCTGCTCTGCAGCCTCTCCCACCCGGGTTGTCTGCCTGTTCACTCTGTGGCTATAACTTGCAATTCTCTGGTAAAGCAGCTGGGCATCTCTTCCTGTGATTAGACAGGTGGAGAACCTCTTGTGCAAGACCTGTTCCATCAAATGATTGTTTGCCTTTTTCTTATTGATTTTTAAGTGCTCTTGAAATATTCAGGGTATGTACTGACATATATATATGTATATATGTATGAATGTATGTATGTGTGTGTGTGTATACACACACACACACACACACACACACACGATCTCCTCCCCTCTTCACTCTTACTGGTATGTTTTGGTGAAGAAATGTTCTTAATTTTAATGTAGTTCAATTGATCATTTTTCCCCTCTGGGGGAAAAGTACTTTTCATGCTTCCCTGGTTAAGAAATCTTTGCCTATCCAAGTCATGAAGACATCCTCCTGTCCTCTAAAAGCTGTACTATCTCATCCATCTTTCCACTGGGCATCATGACCCAGCTGGAAGGCTTCTGTCTATGGTGGAAGGAGATTGAGTTCTCTATTCTTCCACTGGGACACCTGGCTGAGCCTGTCCATGCGCTGGAAGACCATCCTCTCCCCATGTATTGCAGCGTGACCTGTCATAAACCATGCCACTGTACACCTGCGCTATTTCTGGACTCTGCTCTTTATCTCATCTACAGTCTCTGGAGCAGGACTCAATCTGGTTCCCGTCTTGCCCATTCTGCTAACGGGTCTGGGTACTTTTCACCCAATGAGCCCCAGCCCGGGCCTCACCATCCTCCCACTACTAGCAACCCGAGGGCCCTGGCAATCCTCGGCGCTGCGTTTTCTACATTTTAGAACCTGCATGACAATTTCCACAAGTCTGCTTGAATTCTGATTGGGACTACACTGAATCTGTAGATCAGCTTGGGGAGAACTAAGTGTGTCTCCCAATCCCTAAACACGGCTTATCTTGCCAGTTATTTAGACCAGTGGTCCTCGACCTTTCTGGCACCAGGGACTGGCGCTCCTATGAAAATCTAATGCCTGATGATCTGAGGTGGAGCTGAGGCAGTGATGCTAACAGTGGGGAGCGGCTGCAAATACAGATGAAGCTTTGCTTGCCCAATGCTCATCTTCTGCTGTGCGGCCTGGTTCCTAATAGGCGGCAGGCAGACTGGTACGGGTCCACGGCCTGGGAGTTGGGGACTCCTGATTTAGAATGTCCTTCATTTCTCTCAGAAACGTTTAATTTTCAGTACAGAGATATTAAACATCTTTTGTTGGATTTATTCCAAGATATCTGATACCATTGTAAAGGGTATAGATTAAAAACTTTCATTTACTGCAATTGTTTGAAAATTGGTTTTTGTATATTAACCTTTTAATCAGCACTTAGAGAAAGATGGTCTACGGTTCTAAGTCTTCCTTTCCCATTCCTCTGCTGGGATTTCTTTTTCTGCCTTGCTGCATTTGCTTGAATTCCAATACAATGTTGAATAGAAGTGATGAAAGCAGCTACAATTTGTTTCATTTCTTATTTAAAGTAATATCTGCACATGGCAAAAAAAAAATTCAAACAGCAAAGAACCACCCCAAATGAAGTAAGACTCCATCCCAGTGGTTACCCAGTGAATTGTTAATTTAAAAAATTCTTCTGGTAGATGCTATTATAATGGAAAACATACTTTTATCTCTTGAATCGCTAGCTACAATTGTTAACAGTTACGCAAAATCTTACCCTTCTATGGTGCTCACAGGTACTTTCCCGCATGCGGGGGCACACTGTTAACTCATTTAATGAACCAGTTGTGGACAGTGTTTGTTGATTTTTCAGGTGCCACAGGGGAGGGATTTGGTGTCCCCTTTTCCATCCTGAGTTTTGCTAAAATGTGTCATGACGGTCTCGTCATAATACTGTTTCAAATGCAACCTTGGCCTTTTCTTCCTGCTACCTTATCTGAAGGCTTAAGTATGCTATCAATCCAGGCTGCGATGCAGCTGTGAGTTCTAACAGAGGACAGGTGGGGTTAAATGAAACCCTGAGGGATGATGTTCTGAATGGTGGTCCTTCTGTTACGTCCATCCCCACCCAGGGCTAGTATGTGTGGCTTCATCCCTGAAAGGCACTCAGGGTCCAAGAGCCTCACCTGGACCTCATGATCCTTCCCTTCATGGCCCAGGAGCTTTCCGGTTATAAAGCCAGGACCCGAGACTTGGCATGTTAGGTGCACCTCCCACCACTGGGCAAGAAACACTCAGATCCATGGCTAGTTGCTGGGATTAGAGCACAGGGACTGCCCTGCGTGGAGCAGAGTGTGACATAACCAACACCCCCGGAAGCTGGGCTCTGTGAAGAGGACTCATATCTCTGCTGGGAGCATGGCCAAAGCAGACCTTCAAGGACTTCATTCATTGTACTTACATTTCGGTGGTGAGGATGGATAGTCATCTTTGAAGAGCATCCGTAGTTTAAACAAGCCTCCTTCCCATGGGGTCTGTTGGGAGGGAAGCTGTGATTAGTTGTGTGCTGGCCCCTGCTGCAGGTGCCCAGGGGGAGGAGGAGCTTGCTGCTGCCACCACTACCCTCCAGCACTGTGAGGGCCCCAGTGACCCCCAGTCCAATGTCCCCACAATAGGACTGGCAGGACTTCCATGAGCCCTGAGGGTGAGTGGGAAAGAGCTCTTCTTGGAAAGGAGCAGACAGCCAGCTCCTGGCAGCTGCCCACTCTGAACCCAGGATGGGGGTCAGGGTCCACACCTGAGCAGATGCAGTGTAAACCTGAGTGAGCTCAAGTGAGGACCCTGTCTCTTAGGTCCCACCTGTCCTTGCACTGCCTCCCAGCTCCATAATTTAACACTTTTCCCCAACCTTCCCTGGGAGAGAGATGGCTGTAGCCCACCAGCCTTAGCCTAAGATAAAGGATCAAGGATGGGCTCGGTGGAGGCTGGGGTACACATTGGGTCCTCAACAGAGCCTCAGATACAAGGAAAACCCAGAATACCTTGGCTTGTAGAAAAAGTCAAGTCCTAATTAACCCTGCTGGCTCAGCACAGGGGAAGGAGACTGTCAGAAAGCATGAAGGCTAAGCACAGGGGATTCTCACAAGAGACCACTGGTGGGAGGAGATAAAGGTAATGAGGCCTCAGCACAACCTAGATGCCTCAGGGGTCTCCTCCTTCCAAGTCACTAGGAAGAAATGTACCCTGGGGTCGTTGGAGCCTCTTACTCCCTAATGCCTCAAATGCACTGGTCCTAACTGGCCCTGGTACACTAGGGGGAGCAACATGGGAGGACTGAGGCTGATTGTGAAGGACATATGGGGCCCCATGTAGCCATTGTAAGTGGCCGATGTCTGGCCCCTGCATCAAGCATTTGCAGCTATTCAAGGCTCAGACCCAAGAGGAGCACCACTGTATCTGGGCTGCTCCGGCCTCAGTACATCCTGAAGGACAAACCGGAAGACCCTCATGGCGATCCAGTCCCTTGTCCAAGGCTCCCTTTTCTCCCAAAGATGGGTCTAAGTCTTCCGCTCCTGACGCAGTTCAGCTTTCTTCCTTTCTGAATTAAAATTGCTGGAGGGGGTTGTATGTGCCCCCAACCACGTCCCCCAGCCTGTGTGATCAAAGAGTCGAAGCATCCCCAGCAGTCCACCCCTCACACGAGCATAGGTCTTTCTTACCCCTTTCTTCCCTGGAATGGCGCACTCCCAGTTCATGAGGTTCATTGTGCCGTCAGGGTTCTTTGTTGGGACAGCCACAAAACCCTGAGAGAAAACCACGTACAAGCACATCAGCGCCATGGAAGCTCATGTTAGGTGCTTATAGGACCAACCCTGCACCTCCCACTGCCCGACAGCACAGGGCTCGCCAACAGGGACCCGTCCACAGAGACTGGGCAGTGTCATCAGCGGGAAGACGATCCACTGTGCTACACACAGAAATAAAGCTTTCCTTACAAATGGGTGGTCTTTTCTCCAAGCTTTCCTCTCCTGGGCAAGTCTGCTGAGGGCGATCCCCGACATATTCAAAGTCCTGCAAGAGATAGCAGAGATGTGATCAGGAGGAAACCCTGGCTCCTCCTTCCCCTTCCCCCTCACACCTGACCAGGGAGCAAACTTGTTTCCAAGAATTGGGTAAGCGAAGGCTCTCCCCTGGCCCGCAGAGACTGCGCTCTTAGCAAGCAGCTCCATTCAGAGTATGGATGGGCATGAGACCCCCACAGGTGACCTATCTCCTACAGGCAGGTCACCAGGGAAGAGAACTGGACCTCCTAGATACCTATATGTGAGCACCTTCCCTGCAAAAAGCTCAGCCCCAGGACCCCACAGCATACTCTTCGGTCTCCATTTTATGGTGATGCAAAGGTTCAGACAGGCAAAGCCATAGGCTTGGGTTAGCACTGCTAAGTGGCTGCTGTACACAAATGCCAGACACTTCCAGCAGACACCTGGCACCTGTTCCCACCTTTTGGTTACACCCGGCAGTGGGATGGAGTGACAAGGATCCGAATTCGACTATCGGAATCCATAGGGAAGGGAGGGACAAGGTGGGGATGTCCAGAGCACTGGCCTGAGACCTGGGAGAAATGATGGAGTGCTTTCTTCTACTGGTACAGGGAAGTGAGGGTGCTTTCTCATCCCCAGCTTAGAATCAGGGCTCAGAATTCAGATTCAGACCCAGCCTGAAGGATGACTGTTATTCTTGAAGGCAAGAGAGTGGAAAAGTGCCTCAGGGCAGAGGGCAGCTTAACTGCATTGTAGACAAGTCCAGAGACAGCACACCTATCCCCAGCATCCACAGACCCACCTGTCACCAGAGCCCCAGGCTCCTTCCTCTGCCCTCTCCACTTTTTCATCCTACAGTCCCACCCTGGCTCTCCACAAACAACTAATGGATCAAAGCCTGTCTCCCACTTCCTTTGAGAAAGGCAACAAAAGGGGACAGGGCTAGCAGAACCCAGGAACTCCTTGGGCACACCAGGCAGGAGCAGAAAGACACCTCTGCAGGACTGGACCTCAGACTCTCAAGGCTTAGCGCCTTCAGCTGTTCAGACTAGTGGCCTGGAGCCTTCAAGTAAAGCAGCATCTCCAGATGCCCAACACACCAGACCAGATGGTGGGGCACAGGATCGTAACCCCATTCCCAGCTGTCCACAAAAAAGCAGATGCAGAGGTGATAAGGTCACAAAACCTGCCTAAGAATTTGACTGTGTGTTTACTGGTCTTCAAAGTCTATGGAAACACTGAAGATACCCTGCATTAAGTGTTTACCACAAACAAGGATTTAACAAGACAAAGGAGGTGGCTCCTAGAAGTGAGTGACAGGTGCTTGCCTCAAGCCTTCAGGCTTACACTGGAGTGTGGGGGACAGGACTCTTCTTTTCCTCTGTTGGGAAAAGATCCAGCACCTCAAGTTCATGAGTACAATGTGGGGTGCCCTCCACAACTACAACAGGGCTCTCAACCTGGTGGGGAAGAACACAGTTTTGGCATGGATGACACTGCTTTTCAGCCCAGTCTCGCCCATTGCTCCAGCCTACAGACAGGCCTGGTACCACACCCAGCCCATTCTACATACAGGAAGGAAGATTCAGAGTAATCTGCCTGCTAAGGGCTGAGCCTCTACGAAAACCCAGGTGTCATCTTCTGACTCTGGTGGGTGAAGAGCTACTTTCCCTCCCTCTGCAGCTCCCCGCCACTGCTCCTACAGCCTAGACTCCAGCTGACCCACAACTGCTTCAGCACCCAAGTCCTACCCTTCATCTCAGCATCCATCCCACCGGGCTGCCCCCCTCCCCCCCACAACACAAACACTGCCCTGGGGCTCACGCCATTTGTGTCAGGCCAACATTCAACGTCCAGCAGCCCTACGGAGTCAGGAACTCTGGGTGGGACCCCATGCTCTGGGTTATGGGCAACTCTTGGATGACTGTTTTCCCAAGAAGTAGACACAGTGGAAGGAAGGGTTTGGGCTCTCCATTGCAGAAAAGCACTGCTGCCTCTAGTGCCACCCAGGTCTCAGGATGCTGGGTGAGTTACTACCAACCTCCAGACTAACTGGATGTAGTACATTTTCAAGAAAGGTAAACTTATGTCATCACAAGAAAAATGAGTATCAAAAATCAAAGCCCTCCAGTCAAGAAGCATGGCTGTCAGAGTGACATGTGACAGATGTGCCACCTTAGGCTGTGGTCTCCAGCTCCAGCACCCTAACCCCAGAATGAACCTTTCAACCTTACCTGATCTCAAGATTAAGTCCAAAATAGATAACACCAGGTTTGTACCCAAAAGAACTGCTCATTAGCACCACACGACCCAAGTTCTGGTCTGCCCATTTCTTTCCTATCCATGGACTCCAACCCAGAGGATGTTTGACCTAACCACTGAGGGGCTCACAGCAAACCTGCAGGAACACTGCCCTTGGGGGCTCACGTGAGAAGAAGCCATGTGCTGGGAAATGCTAGATGCCAGGAGATGCAAAGCAAGATGATGGGGATGGGGAGGCACCTGCTTTTAAACAGTAGCGAGGTGGCTACCTGGGCAGAGCCTGTAGCCAACAGGAAACTGTTCCAGGCAGCAGGGCCCCATGGGCCTGAGAAAAGCAGGAAGGGTGGGCTTGCATGACGGGGATGGGAGCTTGGAGGAAGCAGGGCAGAAACCCCGATGTCTGAAAATCCTTCATTTGTAAGTTTCTCAAAGCCTTCACATTTCAACTGGTTCTTTTAAATGGAACGACCCAAAGCCATCCCCAACACCAGCAGAAGTGCCCTCCCGACCCCCACCCCCAGGCTTGGGGGGCACAGCACAAATTAGCCTCCAAGGTACTCCTGCTCCCTTGCTCCCCCTACCAACAGGGCCCTTGGAAGGAATGCCCCACATCCTCTGCCACGGTAAAGCAGACAGCACAGGCTGGCAGGACACTTCTGCTCAATTAATGAACACAGAAATTCAGTGACCGAAGGCAAGCAGCCTGATAAGCAGTTAAGCGAGGCATAAGGTCCCTAGCGAGTCTAAGCTAGGACAGGCATCAAAACAGGTTTCTGAAGCCCCAGGCCAGCTCTGGAACACTGAGGAGTCATGGATACCTGCCGGGCAAAACAATGCTCAGAGTGCTCCAGAGGGGCTGGGCCAGGCCCAGGACTCAGCCGAGGCCAGTAGAGTGATCCTGCCTACTTGTAGGCCTGCTGACAAGTGCCAGAACCCCGCCTCTTTTGCTCTGAAGAGGGGACAAAGCTGCCCGTGGAGGCCCTGTCTTAGAGCCTAGCTGTGGTTGTCCCAGGTGTGAAAGGTTAATGCGGGGTGGGTCCCAGAGGAGATCCTGCAGCCCCTGCCCCGCCGGGGACTGACGGACCAGATCAGGCACCAATAAGACTGTTTCCGCCATCAGGGCAAAGAGCCACAGGTGCTCTCACCTGCACTGTCCTAGGCAGAGGCCTGGTCTCCAAGATGGTGCTTCCACTCCTACTGGCCTCCCAGGGTCAAGGAGAAAGCAGCCAATTTGTTACATTTTAATTACAACACTAGGGAACTGCTCATTTAGAATCCCACTTAAAATGGAATCTGCCTTCCCCAACTAACAGAGAAGTACTTAAAGAGCAGTTAAGTGTTACTAGATGCTTCAGAGCAGCAAACGTAAAGTATCTATGAACTACCAGAGTCAGTCTGCAGGACAAAAGCTGGGTTCTCCAGCAAAGAGAGGAGGTCTGCCCTCCACCTGCCTCCAGGGCCCTGAAGCTGGCAGTACTTGAACTCAATCTTCTCAGATCAGCTCTGCTGGTTGACAGCACAGACTTCAGAGCTACTCACCGACTGTGAGTATGGCAAACTGCTCATCTTCTCCAACCTCAACTTCCTCATCTGTAAAATGGGGGGCTGGTTCTCTAATCTCACAGGTTTGCCCAGAATGAAACATATAGTAGATGAGAAGCCCTAGACAGGACTTTCCCACCTAAATAAACTCCCCTAGGGAAAAGGCATTCACTTGCCTAAACCGAGCACCAAGCACTCAGGACACCCTTGATATTTCCCCAGTTTTTGACACACCTCCCAGGACCCCAGGCTGTTTCTCAAACAAAGTCCCAACACTGAGACTAACTAGACAAAAGCAAGACGGTAAGCATTCACCGCGAAAACCACCCAAAAGGCTGCAAGCAAATCAGGTTAAACAAGGATCCATAGCCCTTTTCTGTTGGATGGGTTCGTTCTGTACATAAAGGCAACATTTCCTTAACAGCAAGAAACATTTTTGGCTACTCTTTAAAAGGAAACAAAAAAACTAACTTCAAACAGTACAGTAACTTCCCAAACCCAAGCATACTTTCACAGTATATAAACCAAACCAGTTAATTCTGTGATTTAGGAGCAAATGCACGCCATGATCGTGAGCCCAGCTAATCATTCCCTTCCCTGCCTCCTACTCGTGAAACTACCAGTTCTAATCTCTGTTCCACTGGTACAAAGCGATCTTAAAAACAAAACTCTTCCTCCAGCGAAGCGCTGATGTTGAGGGTCCCATCAACGGCAAGCAGAGCTCTCTAGAGGTGCAAAAATATTCAGACTGGTTTTGGTTTTTAAACATCAATCCCCCCTTACCTCCCCCCGCCCCCCACCAGCAGCCAGCGATTGTAATTCAAGACTTTCAACTCTCTCTCTGCCGGGCCTTATATCCTCGGCTGGAGAGCGCCACAGGTTTGTGTGCAGATCCGTGACCCCGGAAACGCACGTCCCTCAGTGGAGGGAAGCTCCTGTCAAGCCCGCCTCGGCTCCCCGACCGCGCCGCGAGCTCATGCTGTAAGGGATGCCCCCCACTTTCACAAGGGAAAGCGACGGGAGCCCTAAGAAGGAAGGCCAGGACAACGCCGAGACCGGGCCAGAAAGGTCGGGCCGCACCCCGCGGCGTCAACAGCTCCGAGGCGGACGGTTCCCGGGCGCGGGGAGGGGGGCGCGCAGGGGGAAGGGGTCC